TTCCCGTGTACGTGGACAGCGTCTCTGGTTTTAAAGGCTTTCACCTATAACCCAAGCTTTTATGTAGCTTTCGGGTGCGTCAGGTTGTATGAATATGGTCACGGATTGACTTCCCTTGACCTTGCCTGTTCTGTAATAGAAATTGTAAGAACTGTGCTTACCTAATAAACACGATCAGTGTCTCTCTTCATGGTGCTTCCATCCTACAAACTTTGGGTAACGTCCTGCAGGATTATCAGTTACCAATAACTTTGATCTCTGTCAATTTAAATTGACGGGTTCCTCCTTGTTCCAGGTGGCATTCTCACATAGGTGATGATCCCTCAGGTCTTGACTGACAGAGATGCATAATAACAACATAAAGGAAAATGAAATATGAAAGTCAACCTTCAGAACCATTTCCACTTGGGGAGGTGAATTTTTAGATATCACTAAAGAATTTTTGGATAAATAGATTCTTAAGAGAGCATTGTTGATGATGTGGCACTTTAAAAAGAATTTTTTATTTGAAAGGATTTTCCTAAGAAAAATCGGTTCCTTAGCATTTTTATTTCTATCGTTATGTTCTGGGAATACCTCATTTTAAGATTAAAAATTGTGAATTTATTAACTAGGTTAGGAAAAGCAAGAGAAGCGTGATAAAAATAAATCCGTAGGATGAAGGAAAGGGATCGAGGGCTGCCGTCAGCAGCTGTTGGAGCGGAACGAAATCCCTGCGTGTGCACCAGTGTCCTGTGCTGCGACAGCCAGGTGCCGTGAGTGGGAGCGATGTGACGAGAAGGAACGGATGCAGTGGCCAGGCAACTGTCCAGCTACGTGCTTCTGTACGTGCCTTTCAATGCCTTGGAAATTTGGGCTGTGAGATGAATCACGCCAGGAAACTTGGTTATGAATGCTGCTTTAGAATTCCAAGGAGTAATTACATCTAGTACAGCTTTAGCTTCTTTCAGTGATACAAACAGTTCAGAGATAAAGTCACTATATTCCAATCTTCCAGGTGTTTTCTTCTGTATAGCTGTGTAGGTTCAAACATGGCTTATGTTTTGAAACAGTGTTTTGAGACAGTGTTTACATTACTTAGCTGGAAAGGCTTCCAGAAGATGATAGCTCGTTATTCTCAATGTTGTCAATTCAGAGCAGGTTTGTATTTGCCTTTAAGTACTGTATACGTTGTTTTCATGACAGAAATTACTACATTTCCACTTGAAAGAACAGACTGTTCCTGTCATGTTGTGTTCTACCAAGGCATGTTGTGAAACCGGCAGACCCAATTTTACTACATGTTTGTCCTATGTTCTCATCAGCCATGCCTTCCTTTAGAGAGAGGAGGTTCTCTGGAACTGGGGCCGTTACCAGTTTTACATGCTTAAGTGCTTCAGACATCACCGTTCTGGGTACATTATTTTTCATACATGGTGATGTACGGCACAGAAAAACAAAGGTTAAATGACAGTCTCGAGCTGTTGGGTGACACCTGAATTCAGGAAAGGAGCAGCTGCAATTTAGTTACGTCAGCCCACTCCTGCTGTGGAGCAGACCACGTCCCTTCAGGCGACATCCCATGCAGGAGAGTTACCCGTGTCAAACTGCACACACAACCTTGAAAAGAGCCCTTGGGTTTGTGCAGAGGTTCAGTGCGATGTGGTTTCTACGTGGACCCAGTGTTACCAGTGCCTCAGATACCTGACACCCGCTGTGAACCTTCGAGCAGCCTTTACAAAGTCATAATTTCTGTGAGGCAGTCACCGGGCCGATGACATTTGGAGCACTTGTTTTAAGTGCCTCTGTGGTACCCCTGGCACTGGGCCACAGGGACTCCCAGCCTTTCTCTCTTGGCAATAGCCATTTCCAGCCTCCAGCAGGTAAGGAGAAAGTAAACCAGCTTCCTTCCGTTATGTGCAACAGGAAAAGGGCTGGGACGTCCCTGGAGCGGTAGTTGTCAGGTTATGAACTCCTCTTCCCTTGCACAGTGACGAGCTGCACGGAGACACCAGTGAAGTGGGCGACCGCAGTGTTTCAGATCCAGTCCTTCAGCGCAGAAGTGGGCACAGGAATCCTGAAATGTCTCTGAGGCGTGATCGATAGCAGTGCCATTTTTCATAACTGATTTTGTTGCATATTCCCAGCTGTAGGAACTTGTGACACAGGCAGCTGCATGCGGAGTTACAATGACATTGAACCACACCAGGTTAGAAAGCACATAATTTCATTGTATTTGCAAAAATGCTTCAAGTTTAATGATGCTGGCTGCCAGTGGTTTTACTTTGACAGAGTGAATGCACTCCGGTGCCTTTGAAGGGTGAAAGACCAATGACTTTCCTTGAAAGCCAAAGTCTCCTTGGAGAGTTTGAAAAGCATGTCTGCAATGTATGAGTTCTCTCAAAAATAATCTGCATTTCAGAATATAAGCCAATTCATCGAGGAAGATGATCCAAGAGGTGATTTGAATGTACATGTTGGGAAATCTAAGCTTTAATTATGTAAGATAAGATAGCTGTAATAATTCTCATCCTTGTAGAATTTGATTTTGGGCAACCTGTCCTGAATTAGGCACAACAGATACCTAGAACAGGGTCCAGAAGTGCAGCTTGCTGAGCGTGGAGTTGTGAGGACTGAGGGAGAAACAGAATTGCAGATTTATGGAAAGAAGTTTGCCTTTAGGAGCAGACTTTGCACTAATAGATCATCTTCCACCAAAGGATCTCAAGGCCTTTTACAAATTTTAATACTCTGGGCTCCCTGAGACCCTTGTCAATTAAAACAGTGTTTTTAACCTCATTTTACTAGCAGGATACAGAAGTTATTTTACATAGTGTACTGGATCTGGTTTCATTAACCCACAACACATAGACACATGGAAAATCCACAGCAGCTGGAACAAGAATCTCTCTATTTTTGGTCTTACACTTCAATATCTAATGAGACATCACAACTGGTGTATCACAAGAACACGTATGGAAGAAATAATTAGAAATCTAAGTAAACTCCTGCATAAACTTCTCTCTCTCAGAGGAAGTGGAGTTCTTCTAAACGTGAGCCTAGTTCCTTAGGACAGAAAACTGGCCAGAAACAAAATGACAGAAGTCTTTGACCACCAGCACAGCTGGGCTGCTGCTGGCTGGAAGGCAGGAGGTGTGAACTCCGGCACCAGCCTCTGGAGGGGGTGGTGGCTGGGGGAAAAAAGGAAAGCTTGAGAAGTGTGCCCGTGTGAATCTCATGAGGTTCAACAAGGCCAAGTGCAAGGTCCTGCACCTGGGTTGGGGCAACCCCTGGTATCAATACAGGGTGGGGGATGAAGGGATGAAGGAATTGAGAGCAGCCCTGCCGAGAAGGACTTGGGGGTACTGGTGGATGAAAAGCCGGGCATGAGCCAATGATGTGGGCTCACAGCCCAGAAGGCGAACTGTATCTTGGGCTGCATCAAAAGCAGTGTGGCCAGCAGGTTGAGGGAGGGGATTCTGCCCCTCTGCTCTGCTCTGGTGAGACCCCACCTGGAGTCCTGTGTCCAACTCTGGAGCCCCCAGCACAAGAAAGACATGGACCTGTTGGAACGGGTCCAGAAGAGGGCCACAAAGATGATCAGAGGGCTGGAGCACCTCTGCTATGAAGAAAGGCTGAGAGAGTTGGGGCAGTTCATCCTGGGAGGGTGACCTTATAGCAGCCTTTCAGTACCTGAAGGGGGCCTATAGGAAAGATGGGGAAAATATTTTCAGCAGGGCTTGTTGCAATAGGACAAGGGGTAATAGTTTTAAACTAAGGGAGGGTGGATTCAGACTGGATATAAGGAAGAAATTCTTTACCATCAGGGTGGTGAAACACTGGAGCAGGTTGCCCAAAGAGGTGGTAGGTGCCCCATCCCTGGAAACATTTAAGGCCAGGTTGGATGGGGCTCTGAGCAACCTGATCTAGTTGAAGACATTGCCGCTCACTGCAGGGGCGTTGGGCTAGGTGACCTCTAAAGGTCCCTTCCAACCCAAAGCATTCTGTGATTCTATGAATCTATGAAATAAAACGGCAGTGAAAACATCGCTGGCAGTAGAGTTGTGGGAGGTTTTAAAAAAATAATGTAAATTTGATCTCAAGTGAGGGAGTTTCTACCAAAAGGGAACTGGAACTGTCAGGAGGATGGGGCCAAGCTCTTTTCAGTGGTGCCCAGTGACAGGACAAGGGGCAACGGGCACAAACTGAAGCACAGGAAGTTCCATCTGAACATGAGGAAGAACTTCTTTCCTCTGAGGGTGACGGAGCACTGGAACAGGCTGCCCAGGGAGGTTGTGGAGTCTCCTTCTCTGGAGATATTCAAGACCCGCCTGGACAAGGTTCTCTACAGCCTACTGTAGGTGACCCTGCTTCGGCAGGAGGGTTGGACTAGATGACCCACAGAGGTCCCTTCCAACCCCTACCATTCTGTGATTCTGTGATTCTGTGAATAGCGGGCGCACATTGTGCCTGTAAATTCTGGGCCGTTCATCTGTTTTCCGTTATTTTGAAATGTTGTCTTTGATGGGTGTATGTTCTGGTGGGTGGAAACCTGGGTTTATAAAACGAGGAAAGTGTTAATATTACTGATTTGAAGAAAGGTTTGCCACCCCTTGTGTTTGGCTCCCTCAGACAGCCCCCCGCCG